CCAGCTTGAACATCGAAGTTATTGGTTCATGTATTACTGAAGCCTGGCTTGGAGAATTTTTAGCATTACTTTACTAGCGTGTGAGATGAGTGCAATTGTGTGGTAGTTTGAGCACTCTTTGGGATTGCCTTTCTTAGGGACTGGAATGAAAACTGACCTTTTCCAGTCCTGTGGCCACTGTTGAGTTTTCCAAATTTGCTGGCATATTGAGTGCAGCACTTTCACAGCATCATCTTTCAGGATTTGAAAGAGCTCAACTGGAATTCTATCACATCCACTAGCTTTGTTCGTAGTAATGCTTTCTAAGGCCCACTTGACTTCACATTCCAGGATGTCTTGCTCTAGGTGAGTGATCACACCATTGTGATTATCTGGCTCATGAATATCTTTTTTGTACAGTTCTTCTGTGTATTCTTGCCACCTCTTCTTAATATCTTCTGCTTCCGTTAGGTCCATACCATTTCTGTCCTTTATCGAACCCATTTTTGCCTGAAATGTTCCCTTGATATCTCTAATTTTCTTGAAGAGATCTCTAGTTTTTCCCATTCTGTTGTTTTCCTCTATTTCTTTGCATTGATCGCTGAGGAAGGCTTTCTTATCTCTCCTGGCTATTCTTTGGAACTCTGCATCCAAATGGGAATATCTTTCCTTTTCTCCTTTGTTTTTTGCTTCTCTTCTTTTCACAGCTATTTGTAAGTCCTCCTCAGACAACCATTTTGCTTTTTTGGATTTCTTTCCCATGGGGATGGTCTTGATCCCTGTCTCCTGTACAATGTCACGAACCTCCATCCATAGTTCATCAGGCACTCTGTCTATCAGATCTAGTCCCTTAAATCTATTTCTCACTTCCACTGTATAGTCATAAGGGATTGGATTTAGGTCACACCTGAATGGTCTAGTGGCTTTCCCTACTTTCTTCAATTTAAGTCTCAATTTGGAAATAAGGAGTTCATGATCTGAGGCACAGTCAGCTCCCGGTCTTGTTTTTGCTGACTGTATAGAGCATCTCCATCTTTGGCTGCAAAGAATATAATCAATCTGATTTCGGTGTTGACCATCTGGTGATGTCCATGTGTAGAGTCTTCTCTTGTGTTGTTGGAAGAGGGTGTTTGCTATGACCAGTGCGTTCTCTTGGCAAAACTCTATTAGCCTTTGCCCTGCTTCATTCCATACTCCAAGGCCAAATTTGCCTGTTACTCCAGGTGTTTCTTGACTTCCTACTTTTGCATTCCTGTCCCCTATAATGAAAAAGACATCTTTTTTGGGTGTTAGTTCTAAAAGGTCTTGTAGGTCTTCATTGAACCGTTCAACTTCAGCTTCTTCAGTGTTACTAGTTGGGGCATAGGCTTGGATTACCGTGCTATTGAATGGTTTGCCTTGGAAACAAACAGAGATCATTCTGTCATTTTTGAGATTGCATCCAAGTACTGCATTTCAGGCCCTTTGGTTGACCATGATGGCTACTCCATTTCTTCTAAGGGATTCCTGCCCACAGTAGTAGCTATAATGGTTATCTGAGTTAAGTTCACCCATTCCAGTCCATTTTAGTTCGCTGATTCCTAGAATGTTGACATTCACTCTTGCCATCTCCTGTTAGACCACTTCCAATTTGCCTTGATTCATGGACCTAACATTCCAGGTTCCTATGCAATATTGCTCTTTACAGCATCAGACCTTGCTTCTATCACCAGTCCCATCCACAACTGGGTATTGTTTTTGCTTTGGCTCCACCCCTTCATTCCTTCTGGAGTTATTTCTCCACTGATCTCCAGTAACATATTGGGCACCTACCGACCTGGGGAGTTCCTCTTTCAGTATCCTATCATTTTGCCTTCTCATACTGTTCATGGGGTTCTCAAGGCAAGAATACCGAAGTGGTTTGCCAGTCCCTTCTCCAGTGGACCACATTCTGTCAGACCTCTCCCATGACCCAACCGTCTTGGGTGGCCCCAACAGCATGGCTTAGTTTCATTGAGTTAAACACGACTGTGGTCTTGTGATCAGATTGGCTAGTTTTCTGTGATCATGGTTTTAGTGTGTCTGCCCTCTGATGCCCTCTCGCAACATCTACCGTCTTACTTGGGTTTCTCTTACCTTGGACTTGGGGTATCTCTTCATGGGTGCTCCTTACCTTGGAGGAGGGGTATCTTCTCTCATTAGCTATTAAGGAAATGCTAATTATAACTACACTGAGATATTGCCTTACACTCAGTAGAGTGGCTAAAATAAGAAAAGCACTCAGTCCGCAAATGCTCAAAATGGGAGCCCTCACACGTTGTCAACTGGCATGTAAAATGGTTTATCCATTTTGTAAAACAGTTGGAAAGTTTCTTTAAAAACAAAATACAAAGCTACCATCTGACCCAGAAGTTCTACTCCAATCTACTCACCCCCAAAGAAGTAAAAGCCTGTGTCTGCATGAAGACTTGCACAAAAATGCTCAGAGTGGTTTTATTCATAATGAATAAAACATGGAAACAAGCGAAATGATCATCAACTTGTGAATGGAGAAAGTTTGTGGTATGTCCACACAGTGGGATAGAATTCAGTACTAAAAGCATAAACCACGTGTTGCAACAAGGCAGAAGCTTGAAAAAACACTGTGCTAAGTTGAAGAAGCTAAATGCAAAAGACAGTGTGTTGTGTTCTATTTATATGAAATGTCCAGAAAAGGCAAATTTGTAGTGATAAAAAAGTAGATTAATAATTGCCTGGGCCTTATGTGGAAATGAGGGTTGGCTGTAATTGAGTCCAAGAGATCTTTTGGTGGGGGGGTCTGGATTGTGGTTACGGCTGTACAACATAAATGAGTTTGCACATTTATAAAAATCTTTAATTTGTACACTTAAAAGAGGTGAATTTTATATTATGTAAACTTCAAAAAGCTGTTCAAACAAAAGTTCCAGGTGCAGGTGAATGGCAAGAGTCCATTACCTGAATCCCAGGTGACACAGTTCATTTGTTCTCTCTGTTACACGAGCCTTGCCCAATGCTGATCCTCACACAGAACTAGAATGATTGTGACACGAGAAACAGGATTAGCATTTGCGCAAGCGGGCCCGGCAGTGGGAAGGGGTCTGGGCAGACTGCAGCACAGACGTGGGTGAGGGCAGCCTGGCCACCCTCCCGCCTCCGGAGACTGAGAAGCCGCCGTGGGCTCTGTCTGTTTTTCTTGGCACGTAGAGGGAAGGAAGTGGGATAAGACTGGATGTTGAACACGTGAGATTCAAGGTCACAAACAGATTGAAAGCAAAAGGATGGGAAAAGTAGGCCAAGCAAATAGTGCCCAAGATAAAGGAGGACCAGCTGAGTCACTCTCCCAAGGAGCCATCTGGAGGAGGGCCTGCCTCCCCACCTCCCTGGATGGAGAACATCAAACAGGAACGTTTGTGTCATTAAAACATATCATCCCTGACTTCATTCCAGCCTCATAAAAAGCACTTGATAAACTGAGATAAGAATTCAAACTTTAGTGCAGTTTTAAAAAGGGCTGAGATTATATATGTTTGCTTCTGGCAAGTTGAAGACACTTTGACATGGGTATATGAAAAGTTATGCGTGTTAATTTTATTTAAAGTTTTATGAAGTCTTGGAGGTTGTGTCACATTGTCCCGTCCCCATTAAATATGTCATATTTTACAGTTCTGAAGAATCTCTTTGTAAATGCGGTGTTTATTCTTCCCCATAATAAACAACTACACTTAAAAGGCCTTCTAAAAAGCTGATTTGCAAGTGCTGGACACTAATATTAAGAGCGAGCCTCTGGATGGCTAGGAAGACAACGGCTTCCCAAGCGTCTGACCAGGGCCCGGGAACCCGGATAGAACCATCGGCTGATTTATGAAATCTCTGCCAAGACCCTTTGAAAGGGCGGCCGCAGCCTGGAGACGTGCAGTCAGCCTGGTCCCCGCGGGCCCGGGAGGCCGAGGCGGGGCCGCCCGTCATCGCCCATCCCACAGAGCCCCCGCCGCGCAGGCCTCAAGGCCTCCCGGGGCGCGGCGGCCGCGGAGGCGTCCCTGCAGCTTTCTGCTCAGGGCCCCAAACACTGAAAACATTATGTGAGCCAAGGACGGCGGCATCCCGACACTTCACGGGAGCACCGCAGTGCGGCCCCGGCGCTGTGCCGGCTGACCCGCGGCGCGGGCGGGGCGGGCGCCGAGTGCCGCCCTCGCGGGGACCCTGGCCACGAGCCCGCGCGCCGAGGCCAGGGGCTCGCGGAGCGTTTGCAGCAGCAGACGTCACCGTGCCTTTCCGCCGCAAGGGGCGGAAATTGCGGTTCATTCCCACAGGAAGAGGCTCCAGGCCTGTCCTCAGCCCGGAGCACCTTGCTCGCTTTCAAGGTCGGGAAAATGCCCACGAAGCACCCATCGAACGAGGACGCCCACAGGCCAGGTAGCTGCAAGCGTGTCTTCTCCCGCCGCCCGCCGCCCGTCAGGCACTCACGGGCCTCGGGCTCCGTCTGGCGGGGGCCCCGCGTCTTCGTCCTCGCGCCCCTCTGTCCTGGCAGGGTCCCCATCAAGAATGGCACCCCGCTCCAGTCCCAGCCCTCGCGCCTGCCCTGCCTTTAAACTCGGGCCCTGGGCCCCCTCACTGACCCCTCGCTAGCAGGGGTCATGGCCAAACCCCGGGTTTCCTGGTTCTCATGAACCAGCTGCCTGGCCAGCGGCCCGCTCTTCTGAGTCAGTCCGGGACAGTCAGTCACCTCTCCAGACCCGGGAAACCGGAGCGGAGAACCCAGCGCCGGCGCCTGCCGGGAGAGGAAGGGCTTACTGGAGTTGAAGCTCTTGAAATGGTGCCTGCTTTCTACGGAGTGCAGGGCGGTCGGATGGCATCACTGCCTCGATGGCCGGGAGTCTGAGCAAGCTCCGGGAGATGGGGATGGACCTGGCGTGCTGCGGTCCCGGGGTGGCAGAGAGTCGGACACCACCGCGCGGCTGAGCTGACCCGTGAGGCCAGGCCGGCAGGGGTGGTGGCGTTGACAGCAGGGAGAGCGGGGAGAGTCACAGAGGCGGCGGCAGGGGCGGAGCGGCAGCTGTGATGCCAGCGCGGTGGTCGTCGCGGCGGTGACGTTCTGGCGCTAACGGCACCGGTCGGGGAGGTGATGGTGGCTCCCTCGCAGAGGACACAAAGGGCCGTGCGTCCCGGCCAGCTCTGATGCTGGAGGGCAGCGCGCCGGGTCGTGGGCGGGGGGAGGAGGGATGGCCCGTGCCCTGCCCTCCCCATGTCCATGTGGCCCTGTAATGGTGCCAGCAGCTGAACCAGCGGATGCGGCCGTCCCACAGTCTCGGGGACTGAAGGCTGAGTCCAGGCGAGGCAGGCGGGGTCCCCGAGGCCTCTCTCCTGGGCATGCAGACGGCCATCTGCTGCCCGTGTCCTCACCGGATTGCCTCTCTGTGTGTATCTGTGTGCAGATCTCCACCTTATAAGGACACCCCAGTGCATTAGGGCCCATCCTAATGACCTCATTTTACCTTACTTACTTCTTCAAGGCCTCGACTCTAAATGCAGTCGAGGCTCTGAAGATGCCAAGCTGTGGGTTCCAGGATTCAGGCTTCCGTCTTGTAGCATCGTCTTCATCAGCCCCAGATAGGGAACAGCCAGTGGGGTCAGCATCCTCTGAGATCGGGGATGGGGAGGGGTAGGTACTTGAATAAAACCAAGGTTATCTGAGTAAGGAAAAGAGGAAAATGATGACTGTGTAGCCAAAAGTGTTGATCTCTCTGGTTTTCACTGTTTCCCCCTTAATTCTGGGGCTTTAAAACCAGAGTACCTGCACGTCAGCACCCAGGCCTGGCCACCGCCCCCCAGAGAAAGGGTAGTGCTGAGGCTGAACCCTGGTGGGAATCCCTGGTCCACCTGCTCCCCCGGGATGTGCAAGTACCAGCAGGACACTGAGGCTTTCTTCCAGAGCCGTGAGCCCAGGGAAGTGGGCAGAGGGCCTATTTCCCCAGCCTCATACCCCAGAGGACTGACAGCCTCTGTCTAACTCTGAAGCTCACTACACATCCATCAGCTCCAACCCAAGGCCCATGAAGGGGAATCTGTCTTCTGCCACCTGGCACATGGCTTTGCAGACACTGCCAAGACGTCCAGACCCTGGAGGAACCATGGGCCAGAAGCACATTTCAGCTGCCAACTGCTGGGGGCGGGGGGTGGTCATGGGGACCAACCAAGGCCTACAGACCAACCAAAGATGCCCACATGGGGGTCAGCGAGACACAGGAAATGCAATCGGAGAAAGCAGATGATGTGTGACCTTCCTTAAATTCTATCACAAATGTTCCCATGTCCATAAAGCCCTTGCAGGAGTCTTGGAGAAAAGATACTTGCCAGGTGAATCCAACTTTAGAGGATCTGGGGCTTCTTCACAGAGACACATTCAAATATTGACACATGGAGGATGAGAAACCACGGCCCCTGGTGCCCTCTCCTCCTGAGCCACCACGTCCAGTGAGGCTGGAGACTCAGGAAAGCGTGCAGACCAGGCTCGGAGATCCAGGACGGGGGGGCAGAGGCCCTCGTGGAGGTGAGAGGAGATCCCCAGGTTTCCCGACTCACGCCTCCTCCATCTGTGTGGGGGCGACCCCGGCTGGGAGGGTGGTCAGTGTCTGGGTTTGGGGTTAGAGGCGTCAGAGCTGGCGGGGTGCCCCCGGAGCAGCACGAGGCCCCGTCCAGGGTTGGAGACCCTCGGCCTGGCCCGGGGGGCTGGCAGGGTTACGGTGTGAACTGGCTAGATCTTTCCAGTGCTGCTGCTGACCCGAGCCCCCAGGTCCCCTGGTGCAGCCGACCCTCCCCTGGGCTTCTGCCAGTGAGTCCCTGTCCTGGGCTTTGTCCAGTGGCCAAAGGGTTTTCCACCCGAAGCGTGACCTTACTGGTGGCCACTGGGACCGCTGGAGCCATGAGGCTGACGTGCGGCTTGCTGGAGCCACACTAGATGCAGGGTCTCTTCTGTCCCGCCTTTGGGGTGTTGGTCAACTTCCCCCAAACCCCTGGAGGTGGACGGGGACCCTGGGCCTCCCAAACCCAGCGTCCACCTCTCTGGACACAGCACGTGCACGCTGCACCTCGTGGAAGGGGCTGAGAGGGAGGACAACCAGCTCCGGGGGTCTCAGACCCCCACTACCTGCCCCCCAGTCCTCGCTGGAACCCCCGGGGTCTCCACAGAGGCCCTCGCTCCGGAGGCCGCCATCCCCTGGGGCAGGCCTCTCCGGCCTCACTGACCCCTGGTCCGCTGTCCCCCAGTGAGAGAGCCTCAGCTTGGACCGCGCGTCCCTTCTGCTCACCGCCTTCCCTCCCCCGTGGGATGACTCCTTTGGCCTCTGCGAGCACCTCTCAGGCGTGTTTCTTTCTGTTTTAACCACACGCTGAGTCGCCGGGTGTGTGGGGCTTTCAGCGGCGTCTCTTGGAATCCGGCGGCATCGCTGGGAGGGAAGCCTTCTCTGGCCACTCGCGTCTCTGAGACGCTGCCCTTCACCCCGGGCAGCTGAGGCTTCCTGCCCGCTGCTGCCTGGCGTCCTGCTGTCGTTTATTTTGAGTTGTAAAAGGCAGGTTTCTCTTTTAATCACATGTATTTAGATGGAAGTTTCTGGCAAGACATGTATGTGGAGGTCTTGCTCAGTCGTGCCCAACTCTTTTTGACACCGTGGACTGGCACCCACCAGACTCATTCCATAGGGTTCTCCAGGCAGGAGTGCTGGAAAGAGTTGTCTTCCAGGGGCTCTTCCCCACCCAGGGATCAAACCCGCGGCTCCTCTGTCTCCTGCATTGCAGACAGATTCTTTACCCACTGAGCCACCTGGTAAGCCCCTGTCTTAAATAATGCTTTCATAACTCCATGAGTCAGTTTCTGGATTTTCTTATTCTTTTCCATGAATTAATGTTTCTCTCCCTATTCCAACACTATATTTATCCCCAGGCACTTGTGTCTTTAAGAAAAAGATGTTATAATTAGTGACCTTCATTCATGATATCTGGTATATAACATTGCACTTGATATTCTACACTGATTTTCTACCAAAAACCAGACCAATGGCTTATTAATGCTAAGTTTATAGATTGTTTGAGTTTTATATGTAGACAATTGCATCATTCTTAAGTATAATACCTTAAAATCTTGCTTTCCGATCCTTATATATACACTTTAAAAACAAGCCAAAACCAAATTTCACAGGTTAAAATGTCAGGGCAAGGCTGAATGGAAACATTACACCAGCCATGCTCAGCTTAAGCGAGTAGTCCTGAGATTTTTGCTCTCTTGCGTAACAGCTGCCCTAGGACTTCTGGGATGTGACGTATCGGGTTTAGAAAACTATCTTCCATTTGGATTGCCATAAAATGTATTGTCATAAACCTGGACACTTTTGAGTGGAAAAGGGGTCCTTTTGTTTCACAAGTACAGCATTTGAAAGCAGGTCCATCCTGAATAAGGCAGAGTTTATGGTTATAATGATATTGATGCTTTATTATTAAACACACATCAAACACAATTGAGTCTAGCATTAATTGAGTTGATTATATGGAATTTCTCCTTTAAACTTGTTCTGTAGTTAATTGGGGCTGCTCCTGTGGCTCAGTGGTAAAGATCCGGCCTGTAGTGCAGGAGAGCAGCCGGAGACCTGGGTTCGGGCCCTGGGGCGGGAAGATCCCCTGGAGTAGGAAATGGCAACCCACTCCAGTATTCTGGCCTGGAGAATTCCATGGACAGTGTTAACTGATTTTTGGTAACCTCGCATTCCTGGGATAAGCTGTATGTGGTCCTTATGTATTTTATTTTTTACAGAATACATTTGCTTTGTTTGTTATTAGATGCAAAGGATTTTAGCATCTGAGTTTCTGACCAAGGTGGAGTTTAATTTTCAGTTTTCATGACATTTTTGTGCAGTGTTTGTTAGCCTTGTCAATTACAACAGGGAGCTTGCTTTCTACATTCTAGTTAGTGTAAGATTAAGTTATTTCTTTTTTGAATATTTCCTTGAATTTACCAGTATATTTATTTAAAAGTGGTGTTCTTTTCTTGTTGAAGGATTTTTAACTGCGGGTTAGATCATCTTTACAGAAGATTGTTTTCGCTTTCAGTAAGTCTCTTATGTTACGCTTTTCTGGAAAGTTGTCAATTTAATATGTTTTCAAATTTAATGTAATAAAGCTTTTCATAACATTAATCTCTGCAGCATTATAGCTGTGTTTCTTTTTAATAACCTTGTGGTTTATTTATACCATTTCTATATTTTTCTCCATCTATTTACTAGCTGTTTAAAATCACATGTATTAGTTTAGCTTTGTTTATCTTCTCTGTTGTAAGGTCACTTTGTTTATTAGTTTCTGTTTGTCTTTCTATTTGATTTTCCTTTCCTTTCCTCTGGATTATTCTACATGCATTTCTCCTTAATATTTAGTCATTCTTATATTTTTGTAAGCCTTTAAGCCTATACATTTTCCTTAAAGTACTGTTTTAGTTGAACACTCAAGTTTTAGTATGTAGTTTTTTTTGTTTGTTTTTCCATGCAAAATATTTGTTAATTTTCCCTTGTGATTTCTTTTTCAACCCATGATTTATTTTAAAATGTACTTTTAAAGTCTGCTTTATCCAGTGCTAATACCAGCATGTGCTGTTGAATCTAACATTCCTGTGAGTCTCCATGTGCCTGGCATACCTGTCGTCACCCTTCTTTCCAATGGCAGATGCTTGTTTCACCCGCGGTTCAGCTTGAGGACCGAGGCCTGCGTCCCCCGAGCTGCCGGTGGGGTCCGTCTCTGGCAGCTCCAGCAAGGCCCCTTGTGGGGAGTTTCCTTCTGACAAAGAGATCTGGTGCCAAAGCTGGCACGGCCGTCTGGGGAGCAGTCCGTGCCCCTGGCCAGCCAGCACAGGAAGAAAAGTTCTGCCCTCCATCAGCCTCAGGCAGTTTGGAAGAGACTCCATTACTTAGGTGCAGAATCAAAAAGATACATTATATAAACATAAAAATGCGTGTCCCGTGAAGACCCTCAGAGTTTCGGCTCTGCAACACCCCCCTTCACTGCCCGGCAAGTTCCGGCTGCCTCAGTCTCCCTGAATGTCCAGCCCTCTCCTCGTCTCAAGGAGGCAGCGAGGTTCTGTGCGGGGCCCTGTCTGCACCAGGCTATAGAAAGGCTGTCAGCCAAGGCATGTGTTTCACTGGGGCCGGTCGATGGGCCAGGGAAAGCTGGCTTCAGGGACGCATTTAACTAAGTCCAGCTTCTGAGTTTCCTAGTATTTCCAACTCTGTGTTTGTGGGCGGGGGGCCTTCCCTGGTGGTTCAGATCGTAAAAATACACCTGCAGTGTGGGAGACCTGGGTTCGATCCCTGGGCCGGGAAGATCCCCTGGAGAAGGAAATGGCAACCCACTCCAGTATTCTTGCCTGAAGAATCCCATGGACAGAGGAGCCTGGAAGGCTACAGTCCACGGGGTCATGAGTCAGACACGACTGAGTGACATTCACACACAGACACGCACGCACACACACTTACGCCCATGTTAATGCACAAGCATATATTTATCTAGAATTTTTCATTAATTATAATGGGAGAGTTAATTGGAGTATCTAATCTACCATTTTGCTAGAAGAAATTTTTTAACTTTTCATTCCTTTAAGCTCAGACAAAATTTATTTCAGTGATGAGATGGAGCTTTGATTTTATTATCATTCCAAACCAGGCCTCTCTCACTGATTGCAGGTTTCACCTTTACTTGTTAAACAATTAATTGCCATAACACTTGCACCTGGTTAATTTGATTTTTCGCCTCCATTAGACTAAACAGAGGGATACTGGCAAAGCCGCGAGAGTCAGTCATCGGGAAACTTTCTAAAATAAACACAGCAAGGGCCAAACAGCTGAGATGTATTTCTAAAATATACAAATACAAAGAGGTCCTTAATTCTGGTACCTAATGTTGGAGAAAGCAATTAGGATCAAAGTTATACTCTTCAAATTATGGTGTATTAAAATTCAGGCTTTTAAAAGAAATGAGGAACCTATGTTACCAAATCAGGTCTTACGGCCTCTGCCACAGCTGCAGTTGACGCTCCCCGCCTCGGTGGGGAAGGGTCCTTTTTCTGCTTGGAAACTGAAGCCGAAGAGAGCGTGGCTCAAGCTCTGCTCACCGGCCACAGCATGGAGACGTGGGCACTTAGCCAGATCAACTCCCCACCCGGTGAGGGGGCTTGGTTCTAAAGCGTGAAGACACCCGGATGAGTGAGCCCGCTCACGGGAGACCGATGTGTTTGACACTCACCCTGGGAAGGGGCGGGCTTTTTAAGGGAGTGGAATGCCACTGTCTTTTTATCCATTTTGGGTCTTTAATGCCTGGTCCACACCAAGGTGGGTGTGTCATGTACTTGTCTAATGTAGTAAAACCAGCACATGATGAGACTTGGGGTCTGTTGGAGGTCAGATTCCTTGCCATCTTGGTCCCAGCTGACTCTATCTGTTTTTCATTGCTGTTTGCAGCTCCCTTTCTTATCTCTGGATCCTTTAACTTAAAAATGTGTGCTTACCCCTGCTAAAGGGGAGGCCCGCAGAGTTGTGAGCACAACTGGATGCAGTTCTGGGGGCTGTAAGAGCTGGGACTCTGTAATATCATTTTCTCCACAAAACATGGGTGCTTGTTGCCTACTGGCAGTTTATTGGTGACAGATTACACAATTAGTCTTCCTCTTTTCATGTAAATTCCACAGATTTGGTTTAGTTGTCAAATGAGGATATAACCCTTAGATAGGAACCTCAGAGCTTTTTGTATAATACTTGTCAAAATTATCAACTTTTTTCAAATGCAGTATTTAACTTTTGAAAATAGCAAACAAAATGCTAAGGCATTTTTCTGCAAAGTGGAATGTCATGTTAAAATGTAATGATTGGCACAATAATTTGTCTGTACTTATGTTGTTTAATTATAGTTAATGTTGCAGTAAGCATCGCAAACAAGACTTATGAAGAAAGAGAAGGCCGGTCAGCTGGACCCAGGGAAACAAGTGGATAAAATGAGAGAGCGGTGGTCATCCCGAATTTGGCAACGGAAGGATTAGACTGAGACACAATATTTGTCAAAATGCAAAGTATTTTGCAAATGAAATTTGTAAAGATTGCATCAAGTTAGAGAATATGTTTCTAGGAAAGAATACAAGTTTCATGGATATATAATTAATTCTGATAAATTATCTTTAATTTAGTTGAAGTTTCGACCATGTCAGTAACAATGTCTCAAACAACCTATTTCAAGTGTTATTTTCTCCAGGGTGGATAATATAAAACGCTTTGCAGAGGTTCATCTGATCATCCAGTCTTAGAAACATCTCAGTGTCAGTGTGCCTTGTCCCCTGCAAAAGAAGGGAAGATTTTGCAACCAAGTGGGAGGTGTGTTGGAAAGGAAAGTCCAGGCTTTGTTAGTCCTACCCCATGGGGGCAACTGAAGAGCTCCTCGGGATTTGTGAAACTGTGATTTACAAAGCCAGCTGGCTGATGGCACGCACCCCTCCAGGAAAATCGCATGTAACGCTGAACCCCTCCCCGCTGCCACTTTGGAAGAGCTCCTCAGAGTTAGCTGAGATGCTCCAGGCTATACTCCTCATTTTGCCCCAAATAAAACTTAACTCTCAACTCTCACACTGTGCATTGATTTTAGCTGACAATCACATGGCTTCCCCTGGTGGCTCAGATGATGAAGGACTGCCTGCAATTCGGGAGACCCAGCTTCAATCCCTGGGTCAGGAGGATCCCCTGGGGAAGGAGTGGGACCAGCCTCCAGTACTCTTGCCTGGAGAATTCCGTGGACAGAAGAGCCTGATGGGCTGCAGTCCACGGGGTCCCAAAGAGCTGGACACGACTGAGTGACTCGCACATACAGTAAGAAACATATATATATATTTGGTCTTCATTTCTGTTTCTGGCACAGAATTTTTAAACCCTTGGAATTTCCTCTGATAAGAATTATAAAGGTGTGTTTTGTTATGTTAATAAAGCAACTTTTGGAAAGCCCCTGGGGTGGGGCTTGTTCCCACTGCCCAGTCCTCACCCAACCTCGGGGGAAGGCAGAGGGCTTGAGGTTGAGTTGGATCACCAACTGCTAATCTTGATTAACTGTCCCTGCCTGATAAAGCCTCCGTAGAAACCCAAAAGGACAGAGCTGGAGAGCTTCCAGGTTGGTGAACACAGGGAGACTTGCAGGGTGGCCCCCGAGAGTGCATGGGCGCTCCACACGCTTTCCCACACTTTGTCCTTCGCATCTCTCAGCTGCTCCCGGGTCTCTTTTATAACAGACCAGTCATCAGTCATCCAGTAACCGGAATGTTGGTCTGAGTTCTACGAGCTGCTCTAGCAAATTAATCCAATCCCCAAAATATACTGTGCGCCCCCTCACCTCTCTGGAACATTTCCTGGGAGCATCTGGCCTGGGTCTCCTGGGCCACTGTCCTCAGCAAAATCCCCGAATAAACACATTTCCTTTTTATTCTTAACTCAATATTACTGAGGTAGCTTTATTCACTAAAATGTACCCATTTTAAGTACAAAGTTTGGAGTATTTTGACAAATGTATGTATTTATATAAACATCATTACAATGAAGACAGAGACATTTTTCATCAACCTCAAAAATTCCTCTCTAGCCAATCACCACTGCATGCTATTGGCTCCAAGAAACCATGGACACCACTTCTATAGGCAGAGATTAGAACTGACCTTCTTGGAGTCTCATGTAAATGGAATCATGGTGTGCGCTCTTTTCTGTTCTTTCTTTCATCCTTATGATTTAGAAATGTGTCTTTGTTGCTCCTGTTTCAGTAGAAATCTTTGTGAGTAACAGTGCAACATGTGGATGCAGCATACCTGTTCATCCATTCAACTGTAGACAGGCCTTGCAGTGTTTCCAGTTTTAGCTCTTATAAATAACATTTCCATGGGCCTTTGTATACAGATCTTTGTATGGATGCTGTTTCTTTTTCTCTTGGATAAGTAACTGGGAAGGTCATTGCTGGATCACATTTTAAGTGTATTTTTAACTTTAAAGGAAACTACCAAGCTGATTTTTAAAGAGGTGTCACTAAGTTTCATTTCTACTGGGAACAAATGAGAATTCTAGTTCCTTATTTTAGCCCTTCAATACTCAGTATTGTCAGTCTTTTTAATATTGGCCATTTTAGTTGATAACTGATCTGAGGTGTTACCTCCTTGTGCTTTTATATTTGCATGTCCCTGGTAAATAATGATGCCAAGTACTATTTCACATGCTTGTATCCCATCCACATATCTTCTCATGTAAGCGTTTGCTTGAATTTTTCCTTCTTTATGTTGGCTTGTTTGTCTGACTCTTTTGTGTGATTTCTTTGTCTCTTTGGATATGTCTTTCATACTGATGTGGGGTAAGAGAGCCATAGTGGTTCAAAGCAAGGAGCAAGGAGCTTAGGTTTTGTCTTAAAACAGGAAAAGTGCATTAATGTTGTTTCAGAATAGTCAAGAGGAATAATGACGTGACATACTTCCAAGTCACTGTGTGCTTATCTGAGACAGAGGTATAACGGGAAAAGCACTGGGCCAGGAAACCGAGACTCCAGCGTCTAAACTGGAGAGACAGCAGCAAGCCGCAGCCTCGAGGATCTGGGAGGCGAGGAGGAAGAGCTGGAGCTGGAGCCGCCTGGCTGGAACGGAGTCTGTGCCGCCAGTTTCTGCCTGGGCAGACAGCTTTCCTGCATCTCAACATCTTCCTTTTTACAGCTGGAAGAGTGTCTTTTGGGGTTAGTGTGAGAAACAATTTATGCAAAACACTGAGCGCTTAGTGAGTCTTTGATAAACAGCACTCTTGACTAGCCCCATGGTGCCGTCAAACGGTCTGTGGAGACTAAACAGATTTAGGATCAAGGTCCTCAGCCCTCAGAGGTTTCACCTTCTACAGCTGGGATTTATTGAGATGCTTCCCTTGTCAGCTGGTAAAGAATCCGCCTGCAATGCAGGAGACCTGGGTTCCATCTCTGGGTTGGGAAGATCCCCTGGAGAAGAGAAAGGCTACTCACTCCCGTATCCTGGCCTGGAGAATTCCATGGAGTCCATGGAGTCACAAAGAGTTGGACACGACTGAACGACTTTCACTTTAGATTTTTTCACTAAACGGAACAGGGTCGTAAATTATGTTTAGTCCCATGAGCTAAAATTTCCCTGAGGCTCAATACAAGAGAATAACTTGAGGAAACTGAAAATATGGTTTTATTCACCATATTCTTAAATTTCTCAAATACTTAAGTAACATATTTGTACATTCACCTAGTATTTTATCCATGCAAAAAGGAGAACAAATCAAATTATGCTTGTCACTAAAAAAATGAGTTAAAAAACAGACCTAAAATATGTTTCATCTAAGGATGCTCATCTTGATGCCATTAAGTTTATTTTCTGTGGTACTTCTTTTGTGATGCATTTACAATCTTTGGTCTCTCTGATTTCTTCCTGTTAATTTGCTGATGGTTTTGAGGCCTGTTTTTGTGCTTTGCGCATGAATAACTATTAAACCAGCAAAGCAAAATGTAAACTATAGTTTTTCTTATAGGGAAATTCTAAACCCTAAAACAAACCCCAAAATAGCTAGAAAGAAATCCATTTTAAGAGTTAAGTCCTAAATTGTTTACTAATAAAAAAATGAAGTATATTTAGGTAAAACAAAAGATTAATAATTTGATTTTAGCATTTGAATTCACACATGTCTTTGTTGTTTCAATTCAATTACACCCTGAAATGTGATAGGGCAAGTTTTTGAAACAGACCCCAACTCTACCCAAAACCTCAAATGCTCTTAGTCATGATTCTTAAGTAAAAGCCATTTTGAGCTTTCATAGAGTTAATTTTAACTTTTACTTTAACTTTTTTCTTTCTTCTCCCAACCTTCAGGGATGTCAGATTAACATTATTATTTTTGAGAAGATGATATCGCTTTGAAAGTCTCATTAGTTCAGTTCCGTTCAGTCGCTCAGTCGTGTCTGACTCTTTGTGACCCCACGGACTGCAGTATCCCAGGCTTCCCTGTCCATCACCAACTGCCGGAGCTTGCTCAAACTCATGTCCATCGAGTCGGTGATGCCGTGCAACCATCTCATCCTCTGTCCTCCCCTTCTCCTGCCTTCAATCTTTCCCAGAATCAGGGTCTTTTCCAATAAGTCAGCTCTTCCCATCAGGTGGCCAAACTATTGGAGTTTCAGCTTCAACATCAGCCCTGCCAATGAATATTCAGGACTGATTTCTTTTAGGATTGACTGGGTGGAACTTCTTGCAGTCCAAGGGACTCTCAAGAGTCTTATCCAAACCACAGTTCAAAAGCATCAATTCTTTGGTCCTCAGCTTTCTTTATAGTCCAGCTCTGACATCCACAGATGACTACTGGAAAAAACAATAGCTTTGACTAGACGGACCTTCACTGGCAAAGTAATGTCTCTGCTTTTTAATATGCTGTCCAGGTTGGTCATAACTTTTCTTCTAAGGAACAAGTGTCTTTTGATTTCATGGCTGCAGTCACCATCTGCAGTGATTCTGGAGCCCAAGAAAATAAATGTGTCACTGTTTCCATTGTTTCCCCATCTATTTGCCATAAAGTGATGGGACTAGATGCCCTGACCTTAGTTTTTGAATGCTGAATTTTAAGTCAGGAAGTTGGAAGGCCAGGATGGAAGGCCAATCTTATTCTGTATCAAATATTTAAGCTATTTTTTAAGGGTAAGATTTTTGTTTGTTTCTTTGTCCTTAAAGTATTCACATTGAAGTTAGTGCAGAAACATATGAGAGGTTATAAACAGTGAGAGCTTTCAGTGTACATCCAAGGCTAGGTGTTGATCTGGTCTGTAGGTTCTGGTCTGACCCCATCTGGCTCTCCTCTTCGCGGTCTATCACTGGAGTCTACGGATTCTTCCACACAGCATTGTCAAGGTCAAAAATAGCAGAATCCAGAGTGCCTGAACCTGTGAGCTGAAGGACAAGAGATGTTTCTAGGATTTTTGTTCATTTGTATCAACAAACATTATTTCAGTGTGGATCCATGCAGCTTAAAACTACTTCTGATATTTTAAAAATTGTTGCTAAAATACCTGGAGGAGAAATTACTTTGTGATTGCCTATCACACATTCTCTGAATCTAGCCCCTTTTATCCCATTAAACTACGCTTTTGACAGATTAAGCTTTGTTAGAAATCCAGTCATCCCTGTAGAGCAGAACAGATCATTTGCTTTTTCCTCAGAATACCACACATTTATTCTTATTGATTGAAATAAAACTCTGTACTTTCTCCGATTATCCAAATTCCATCCCAGGAGAGACCCCGATTCTTCCAGGAAGGCTTCTCTAATCCAGCCTGGCGCTTCTCTGTGATCATCTCTCGGGTCATCTGTCCTTCTCTTTTAACCATTTGCTCACTCTTTTCAAACCAGTTGTGAAGTTCTAGTGTTTAAACATTTTTAGTGATGTCACCATGTGTGAGGTTCCTGTTCCTCTGACTGGTTACCGCAGATGAACCACATATGTTCATTGGATGCATTGACTATTGCAGAAAAGTAAAAGAAAGATGTATTATCTCTGATACCAAGAGGTTTGCGATCTGAGAGTTTAAAATTCAGCTTCTAGGACACTCTATTAAAACATCAAGCCGTGAGTGCCAAGTGTGGAATAAAGGCAGTGTGACTGGGGTGTCAGAGGGGAAAGAGGTTCTCAGGGCCGGAGAGAGACAGGGGTCCAGCCCCAGCTGGGTGTCCATCTGCACGGACCCCTCCTGCCTATGTTTGCATTCACCCTCATCGAAAGCCTGAGCAGGCTGTCGTGATAAAACCCCCTCTTTACGAGGCATCTGCGTGTACATACAGGAGGGATGGGCCAAGGGAGAGACAGGAGGAATCACCAGGAATCTGTTAGAACAGCCTCATCCTTGAGGGGTCGACTGATTGACATGGGTGGCCCAGCCGGTAGAGAATCTGCCTGTGGTGTGGGAGACCTGGGTTGATCTCTGGGTCAGGAAGGTCCCCTGGAGAAGGGAAGGGCAACCTACTCCAGTATTCTTGCCTGGAGAATTCCATGGACAGAGGAGTCTGACAGGCCGCAGTCCATGGGGTCATAAAGAGTCGGACACGACTGAGCGACTTTCACTTTCACTTTTTAGGTGATTTGTAAAAGCACAAATTTAAACCTGTCAGTCTATTGTTTCGTTGCTCAGTCGTGTCCAACTCTTTGCGACTCCATGGACTGCAACACGCCGGGCTGCAGTCCATGTGGGCTGCGGGTCTATACCTACATCATAAAAACATTAGTAAATGCTGTTTTGTAAATGCATTGAAAACATTTTAGAAATCAATGGATTTTAGTTAGCACCAAATCCAAAAATGAACTCATCAACTGTATGTTTGTTGTTTTAAGTAGTAGTCATAAAATGGTTTTTCTAGGGCAAAGTGGCAATGGAACATGTCCTAAGGGAATTAAAGTTGAGGAATATTTTATAGAAAGCATTCGGAGTTTAGTACAAAGACATACACGTACAGGTTCTTAGAACCTATCTCTATCCACCTATCATTACCTGTCATCTTCCAATTATCTATCTATGTATCTATGTACCTTCCCCGATGGCTCAGTGGGCAAAGAATCTCCCTGCAATTCAGGAGACACAGGCCTGATCCCTGGGTCAGGAAGACCCCTTGCAGGAGGAAATGACAACCCCCTCCAGTATTGCTGCCTGGGAAACCCCACGGGCAGAGGAGCCCGGTGGGCTACAGTCCATGGGGTCGCAAAATGTTGAACACAGCTGAGTGACTAAACACACACTCTACCTGTGTATCTATTCATCTGTCTGTCATCCACGTGTTTGTATCTTCAGAACACCATCAATCATACACATCTTAAGCCCCCTAAAAGAAGGTTCCCCCATTTGAGAAAGACCCTCAACCCTATGAACACCAGTTCAAGTGCAGTCATGCTAAGCCACCTGCCGTCACCTTTTCCAGAAGGCGAGTGAGAAGTCGGGTGTCAGAGCCCAAAGGCGCCACCTGGCACTGATCAGGTGGTTGCCTGGGAGAAGCTCGTTGGTTTGCAGCCCACTTCACCTGCTCAAGGCCACGGCATCGGGGCAAATCAAAGGATGATTTCTGGAATATGCTTAAAGATAATCCAGGGGTGGGAGGGGCGGTGGTCGGGGGTGTCGGAACAACCAGCCTCACGTGAGCATTCATCGTAGCCACGTGCTGGGTCTGCAGGGGTCACTGCGGTGCTGTGTTCCCCGGTCCCCGTGTTTGGAAGCTTGGATAACCATCGGTGCAGTGGATGGGGTGAGGGAGGGGGAGAAAGGACGAGGAGGGTGAACTGCCAGACGCTGCCCCGCGGCGGCGACTCACACCTTCAGGGAGGGGTCAGAGCCGCGGAGACAAGCGCCGTCCCTGGAGCCACAGTGGACTGGGAGTGTGCTGGCCCTGGCTCCTGGAAAGGACTGCAGCGGCTCATGGGCCCACACCCCACCCTGGGGAGGCCCTCCTTCCCCGCAGGCCGTATTTCAGGGCGATTCCGCGAGATGCTGGCGGGTCCCTGCTCAGCCCTTCCTGCTCAGCCGTCCCCTCGCAGCTGGAGACCTGCCCACAGGTCTCTCTGTGTTTGCCAACTGACTTACCAAATGGAAACCTGGCCGGTGCGATGCCTTCAGGGCCTAATCTTTCTGCACCCATGTTTGCGTTTCCCCCTTTCCCAAGTTTGAAAGCAAATACTCCACGAATGTCAATTTGGTACTTGCAATTTATCCGTTTGGCCATTCTGCACTATTTCTTCAGCCCAGAATGGTGAAAATTAATATCCACGTTCAACATTTTTAGCCTTACACATGTGTCAACTTGAACAGTTTTATTCAAGATACCACCCTCCTAAAAGAGGAACCCCTTCCAGACAGTGGAGGACACTAACATTTTCACCAACTCAGGTCATGCTGTTGATGTCAGAAGCATCTGCCTACAGAAGTCTCGCCATTCCAGAAACGTAACTCGGGTGTCAGGACAGACACCACGCACCGTGGGCTTCACCAGCACATGTTTCTGTCTCAGACCCTGGAGACTTGACGGCCGTGATCCGGGGGTCAGAGGTCAGCTCCCCGAGGCCTCTCTGCTGGGCGTGCACACGGCCACCTTCTCCCCGTGTCTTCATGCGGGCATACGTGTGTGTGTGTGTGTGTGTGTGTGTATGTGTCCTGAGACCCTCCACCTACAAGAACACCAGTCTTGCTGGATCAAGGCCCATGCTGATGGCACTGTTTTAACCTAATAACCGCCGTAAAGACCCAGTCTCTAACCTGGCCAGGTTCTGGGGTGCGGTGGGAACATCACCCAGCCCATGACGGTCACCAAGGCATTTGTAGAAAAGGCAACACGGGGATGTGGCAGGGGGCCCCTCAGAGCCCCCCCCCGCCCAGGGACATAGACTCACTGCTTTCTAGTTATTGATATTAAATGGCTTTTCTGAGTAAAATCATAACAAGTGCTCTAAAATGAATATTGCTTGTAAATTCCACGACTCTGCTAGGATGGCCATTAACATCTGATGAAGTTCAATACTGTAAGTGAAGTTTACACTGCTGTTCTCTATCTAAACTTTTCACTTACTAATATATTCATGAGGATGTTCCTACAATGTAAGGGTTCCTTTGAACACATCAGCTCTAATATTTACAGTCTTCTATAATATGGCTATAATAAAATTTATACAATATTCTGCCAATTTAGGCATTCATATTCTTTCAAAATTAGCTCTATGGCAAATAATGTTGTAATATACATCTGAGTGAATAAACATTTTTCTTCACTTATTGGTATTTTATTTGGATAGCTTCCTAGAAGCCATTAGGTCAAAGAATATGGCTTTTTTAATGAAAATGGACACATATTGCAAAATGGTTTTCCAGAAAGTATGTTAACAAGTTTTCCGCTGAAAAAATGAAGTACCTGTCTCACCACACACACCCACACACACACTCACACATACACTCATACTAGCCATGAGGAATATAATTTTCAATTATCTGCTAACTTCATAGGTACACACAGTATTAGATTAAATTTTCTGCACATTTTGCTGTGAATTTTGTTTCTTTTTAACCATTTTAAGTTGCTTACACACTTTCTGTGAATACTTTTATTCATGACATTTGTCAACTTTTAATGCAGATTTATTATCTTTATTAATTACTGCATGTTACTTATTTAGATATCATTGGAAATTATTTCCAGTTATAGTTTGATAGTAAACATGACTAAAGCTTAAATAATAACTTTTTTGTTTGTAAAATTAAATTAATGAATATTTCTTACTCCTCCTTGAGCTTATTTGGGGGAAGTTCTTACACATCTTGATTTAAGATGATTATTCTCCCATATGTGTGTCTGGTTCTGAAAAGGTTTTTGGTCTTAATCTTGATCTGGGATTTACTTTGAAGAATGGCATTAAAAATAGTTAGATTTTATTTTTGTGTAAAAAGCCATATTTTCTCAGTACAATTTCTTGAGTGATCCCTTCCTGATTCTTCCAAGTGAAATATAGCAATTCTTTCATATGTGAAAAGCATGTCTGAATACATGAGGAGTTGTCCACTCTTTTGATTTGTGCTCGGAACATGTTACCATAAACGTCATCACTGTTTTGGAATCCTGAGCGGCATGGAGCCGCGTTTAGAGGAGTCAGCAGCCTCGTCACTCACCCTCTGTCCTTCCTCGATTATCCGCGTGGTGACCGTTTGTGTGCAAGCCCAAGGTGCCTCTGTGTGTTCTCCTGCAGCATGGGGTGTCGTCGCCGGTGAAACGACTGCTGAGCGGGCGTTGTCTCCCCCACCCTCTTCCAGAGGTCACAGAGGCGTGGGTGAAGTCGCTGCCTGGGGACCAAGGCAGGCGGCAGGCTTTCCGACACTGCTCACCCATCAGGTGTTGGTCAAGCGCCTGTTGCACAAAGGCTGTGCTGTAGACACAGAGGATCCAGCAGGACACAAAGCGGACCCCGAGATCTGCCCCACGGGCCCTAAAGGAACGGGGGTGACGGGCAGAGCTGCGGCTGGCGTCCCGGCTCAGGACGGCGAACCGGCGAGGTTCCCCTACGCGGCATCAGTGACGGCCCAGCAAAGGGTGGGACAAGCCCGCCTTCCAGGGACAGCGTTTACGGGAGGAAACGCAAGTGCTGCAACTCGGCGGCATTTGTTCTGTGTTGGGACAGCGCTGGTGATCAGAACTGAGGACAAACAGGCGGGGAAGGGCGGCAGGCTGCTGGGGTGGGGCTGGCATTTCAGGGTGAACATGAGGCCTGGGAGGCCGCGTGCAGGTGAGTGGCGGGAGCGGGCGCCCACGAGGAGCGTGCGGATGTTGTGCAGCTGTCCTTGGGGAGATGATCTGGGCAGGAAGGACGCATGCAAAGGCCCCGGGCAGGCATGTCTGGTGTACAAAGGGGGACGGCACGGCTGGAGCGGAGGGAACAAGGTCAGAGAAAGAAGAGGATCTGGGGTCTCACGAGTGTGGGAGCCAGTGGAGCTCACCAGGGTCATCAGCACCCAAGTGGCCCCCGAGATCCCGAGTGTGTCCCTTTGGTGGGTCCCACCTTGAGGAACTGGAGCTGGCCTGAGCTGCCAAAGCAGTGGTGTGTGCATTATAAGATAGTTTAGTAATAGGGAACTCTGTATAAACTGATGTCATCAGTTTTTGATGTGTGGTTTTGAATAAACTGACACCCACACTCGTGTTGTAAGCATGTAGATGTTGTCCAAACCCAGAGCCCTCCGTCATCACACACACACACACACACACACACACAGGCACACACGCACACATGCACGCATGCATGCCCCCTCCCCGCAGGTCCCCCTGGCAGTGCCTAGCCATCCCTGGTAAGGTCCCCAGTTGTGTCTGCCCGGATCGCTCTGTCCGACCTTCGCTTCCCCCGGGCAGTCAGCTGACAGCGCCCGGCCGCAAGGAAGCCTGGGGACCATGGGAAGCGCTGCCTCCCATCGCCCCCGTTACTGGGGGCCCCAAAACTCCTGGCAAGTGGGATGGGGCCCTCTTCCCAGGGGTCTACTCCCTGCCATTCTCACCGTGGCTTAACCCGCTTCCCACACCAACGTCTCCATCAGTCAGGACCACACGGCGTGGGGCTGCTTCCTCTCGGATGCTCAGCGTCCCCTGCGGCCCCTGAGGGCAGGTCCAGCAGGACGAGGGCACCTCAGAGCGGGAGGGGGCCAGGGAGGGGAGACGCTGAGGAGAAAAATGGAATTAAAGTGTTACTGACATGCCCGAGGGCGTGAGGAGAGGCTGCTGAAGAATCTGTTGGAATATTGGAAGGACCGGTCAAGAGAAAAGCAGAGAAATGAAGAAACCATACTCGCTTCATGTGTTGTGCTGTGTGGACAAGTCTGTGGCCTCATCAGATCCATTTTCACTTGGACGCGTTGCAAAGTGTGCACGTCTCTAAGTGACACATCTAAAATGATGAGCGCTCAGTCACTCAGTCACGTCTGTCTTTTTGTGACCCGATCGACTGTAGCCCGCCAGGCTCCTCTGTCCATGGGATTTCCCGGTAAGAATACTGGAGTGGGTTGCCATCTCCTACTCCAGGGGATATTCCTGGTCCAGGGATTGAACCCACGTCTCTTGCATCTCTTGCATTGGCAGGGGGATTCTTTACCGCCGGGCCACCTGGGAAGCCCTTAAATTATACATAACAGAGTTTACATGTGAATTACCCTTGCTATAATTCATCTCCTCTTCCCCGGTGCTTTTTGACCACTGCTGTGTAGTCCTAATCAGTTTCTAATTGACTTCTCTGTAAATCCAGTGTGCCTTTTCACATTCTCTTGCCAACACCATTTCTAGATGTTGGAGATGCTGTTTATGAGCATAAACTAGTTTCTAACCCTTTCACGCTAGAAAGAGCTCTTATATATATCTGCTATGCCTGTTCTCTGTGGTGGTGACCAGCCACGTAAGATCAGGGGATGTTTCCCCAGGAATGTGAATGCAGTGGGGTGAGGGGTTTCCTTGGAAGAGGCACCTGGGGGCAGAGTGGCAGAGGCAGGCTAGACTTTGGTTTGCAGCTGCGGAGCATTCCAGGAGAAGCTTTCCTTGGTCATAACCATATCATAAACCAGAAGACACTATAAATCTTGTTTTGAAAAGCCTAGCATTGAGAGCAGAAATGAATCTTCTTGTGAGTCTGGCTGTGACTGTGACACCATCCTGCTTTCCCTGCCTCCTTGAAGACACTGCTGGTTTCTGCCAGCATCAGACCCTGTCTGTATCCTATTCTCCATCTGTGGAATTATGTTGCTGATTTTGCTCAGCGTGAATAAAGGTTTGGAGCTGAAATCCAAGTGTACAGCTCATATCACTTGGCTTCCCTTGTTTTATATTATTTGTATTATTAATAGAAAGTAAATGTTGTCAATCTCGACTTGTACATAATTTCACAACTTGCTAACTCCTGGATGTTGATAAAGAATAAATATTGATTTTCTTTTTTAAAAATGCAGGACAAAAAAAATAAATAGCTTTCTATTTTGATACACATATGGATCAAAGTCACTAGGAATTGGTGTTCTTCATAAAACATACTTCACTGTTTTTTCTCTTCTCCAAGGAGAATTGGTGTATAAACTGGAAACCTATCTTAAAATGTATCTACAAATAAAGCTGAAGTAGAAAATTGAGCCATTTGGCTGATTATATATCCAAAACAACCGCTGTATCAGGGCAAGGCAAAGCACAGTGGGTGTTTGCACGATTATCTCAATTTGTCACGGAACATGGGGACTCCCACCTTTCTGCCCTTTGCCCCATGGCTGAATGGAGCCAATTCTTCTCCGCAAGGCCTGGCTTCACCCGGCGGGATGTGACGACCCCAGGGGAAGCAGAATCAGTCGAGCTGCTCGTGGCCTCCCCGGAGTTGGTGCTGCTGTCCCAGGGCCTGGCTTCCTGGCAGGTAGAGCTTGTTTTCTAGGTTTCCTGCCTAACTCTTGGTCTCGGAGGCTCTGCTCACATGAGAATCTGAAATGAGTTTCTTTGTCCTTGTAGAGTGCTTGTAACCACTACTCATATCTCTCCCAGAGGTGAATCTGTGGACCCAGGTGTGGGCCCCCCGGTAAATTCACCACCGTGCATTCTCCTCTGTGCCCACCTCCTCTCAGCCCCCCAACACACATTCCTTTCTTGAAGCAAGCCTAACAAGGAAATGTGCCAAGTCCTGACATTTGAATTTCACATCTGGATCCTGAAAGCAAGACTCCAAAGATAAAGAGGAGTCAGAACAGTTGTGCTTGGCCTTGACTGGCTAAGGTTTCCTGAGAACTGGGGGGAAGGAGGGAAACCCAGAACTACGTGCTGATGCATGTCCCTGAGCAGGGCCCTGGGACCCTGGCCCTGCCTCTCCGAGTGCCGTGTTCTGATGAAGGAACTGGAGTCCTGGGCGGACTGAAGAGTCTGGAGACAGAACTGGAGCTCCCGCAGCTGATCCACAAGTAAAGACCAAGGTGGGGTCACAGGCTGACCAGAGCCTCAGAGTCGGGGTGGCCTGGTGCCCAGAGCTGAGAGCAGGCAGACGCATCGTCAGAGACAGGTTGGCAGCTGGACAGAGGAGGAGGCTGGAGCAGGCTTGCCGGGCCCGAGGCTGAGCAGGAGCGAGGCCATCTTTGCAGACATGGCCGGGCCTGAGGCTGAGCAGGAGCGAGGCCATCTTTGCAGACAAGGCTGGACCCGAGGCTGAGCAAGAGCGAGGCCATCTTTGCGGACATGGCTGGGCCCGAGGCTGAGCAGGAGATCATCTTTGCGGACATAGCTGGGCCCGAGGCTGAGCAGGAGATCACCTTTGCGGATATGGCAGGCCCACGGTGATGCCCCGGCCAGGCAGGCACCTCCCCTTCCTGGCACCTCATGAGCAGGCCTGTCCTGTGGAGATCACAGGCAACCTCCGTAAACACAGATCTTATTTCACCCATCCTGAAACCAGGGTTCAAAATTAAGTTACGAAGAGTAACGAAATGGGCTGTCTTTTATAACAAAGCTGTGGCCTGAGCATCCTAACCACTAGGATCTTCCTGCCACGAGGGTCATGCCCTCATGAACGGACCCCAAACTTACCCAAACACCCTCCCCCTGGACACTGGTGAAGGCCGTCAACCGCCGCCACGTCCCCTTTTGTGGGAGAATCTGGTTTTGTTGAACGTTGTGTGGGGATCTGTCTGAATCACCACACGGTGATTAGCCTGAAGACACTGCAGCTTTGCAGATCCAGCGCCTGCCCCTTCCCCCCAGACCCAGAAGGCCAGTAGCAGCTGGGGTTGACCCTTGTGCCAGTGGCGGGGTTGACCCTCGGGCAAGTGGGTCTACAAAAGGGAGGCTTGGGGGAGCCAAGACAGATTGCCGCTTCCACCAGCCTGCCGTGGGCCCAGCCCTGGGGAAGCAGGAGAAGGCCAGACCAGCCGGCCTGGCTCCCGTGAGTGGTGACGCAGCAGAGGGATCTCTCAGTTTTGGCCACCAGGCTAGGAGGAAAAATGAGTCGTCCCTCTCAGATAGCAAGGCGTCTTAACCCACACGCACCCTGCAGGAGGGCTTCCCTGCTGGCTCAGCTGGTAGAGAATCCGCCTGCAATGCGGGAGACCTGGGTTCCATCCCTGGGTTGGGAAGATCCCCTGGAGAAGGGAAAGGCTACCCGCGCCAGGATTCTGGCCTGGAGAATTCCATGATGGACAAGTCCACGGGGTCACAAAGAGTCAGACGTGACTGAGCGACCTGAGTACCCTGCAGGAAGAGTGTGAGATGGCAGAGCTCACTCCAGGGATGACGCGGAGCTGAATCAGGGGGTGCTCTCCTCAGGGCTGTGTCCGCGCTCTGGGGATGGTGCCGCTGTGCCCGCCCCTCCGGCTGCCCGCGCAGCAGAGCACAGTCAGGGTGCCGGGCCTTGGCACAGCCTGGCTTCCAGACGCTGGCCCTGCATTCAGCAGTCAGTATATATTTTTTTAGAAGGAGTTCCAGCCTCTCGTTATTGACATACTTAAGACTGTTTGATTCTTAAACCACAGCCCAAATATTTTCTTTTAAAATCTCTGTAAGTATCAAGACCCAGTCCACAAAAAGCACAGTGTGTTCTGCCCGAGAACAGTTGCATTGAAAAATGCCGGCCTTGTTTTTGAGAAAAACACTTAAATCATTTTTTGAGGTCCAGCCATCAGTGCATTTAGATAGAAAATGCTTTCTGAAGAAGCAGTCCTTGTTAAATGTCTAAAAAAAAAAAAATGGTGCCTCTGCTAGGTATTTAGAAATTCCTCCTGCAGTGAAGGTATGGGAGCCTTTCCAGAAACCATCTCAGGCGAAAATGATTAATTATCCCTAATAGACTCTTTCAGGGCCGTGTTTATCCTGCCATGTGCAACACAGCAGGAGCCCAGAAGCTGCTTCCAAATCCCCGCGGCTTCTTCCAAGAAAATGGACGCGGCCGGCACCCAGGTCCGCGCTCCCCAAGTCTCCCCCAGCCGTTCGTTTGCTCCAGGAGCCCAGAGAATCCAGTGCTGATGTCCACGCGACGCTGCGTCCCTCCCTGCCGCGCCCCAGGTCCAGCACTCGGGGCTGAGCGAGAAGTCAGATCCCGATGGAACCTCGGGGCTCTCGAGGGCCGACGGCGGCTGCCCTGCCAGGGTACCTGGGGTCAGAGATGGGCAGTGCCCGGCCCCGCCGCAGGTGTCCTGCCAGCGGAGACACAGAGCGGCCCTGTGTGCTGACCGCTGGCCGGGCCGGCCGCACGGCTTTGCACAGACTTTGGCTTGGCATCTCTGTCTCCAGCCCCTAAATCCTTCGATTCAGCCCCGGCTCTCGCTCTGTGCTCTTGGCATGGGTGAGACTCTTTCTCCGGGTAATTTAAGACCCTGGAGGTGTGAGCGGTGTTATTTCTCTTGCCCTGTCACCACATTCAATTTTCTGGGAAAGTCTCATAAACTGAGATGACAACTAATCCGCACAGAAGCTTTACTTCTTAGGGTTGCTTTCTGGAGATGCTCTCACTTATTTCACTTTGTTCTAAAACCACAAGCCTGTGTAAGACAAAACTCGGGCTGGAAGACCCTCTCAGGTGGACAAGGCTTTCCAGGCGAAACCTAACCATCATGAAAGGCAGAAATCTCTAGAAATCTCTCATTGAGTCAGTAGTCAGTAAGAATAATGAAAGCAGAAGATTTTCTTGGTACCATATTTTAGTTTTAAGAAGGAGAAATAGAAATGTTGAGGAAAATCAAAAAGTGGAAAGAATTCTTATTGCATGAAAAACAAAGTCCTAGCTACTGCTGGTTAACTACCAAAAACTCTACCAAGTTTTCACAAGGGCACCATGTTAGCGCTTTCCTGGGTTAACGGACGGAGGCTTCAGTGTTGACTGTAACAAAGGGGGGTGACTGTTGGGAGAACAAGGGTCTCGTCGGATGATGCTGAGCTGTGAATCTGACGCCTCTTGGTGCAGGAAGACACTGAAGCTCTCACCAGGCCTGTCTCCCGGGGTGTCTGCGATCCTGCTCGGTGGGAACGCTTAACCCTCCCTGCCTGGGTTGTCAACCATCTCCGTTCCTCCTCAGTTCACTTCAGTCACTCAGTCGTGTCCGACTCTGTGACCCCATGGACTGCAGCACGCCAGGCCTCCCTGTCCATCACCAACTCCCGGAGCTTGCTCAAACTCATGTCTATCAAGTCAGTGATGCCATCCAATCATCTCATTCTCTGTCGTCCCCTTCACCTCCCACCTTCAATCTTTCCCAGCATCAGGGTCTTTTCCAATGAGTCAGTTCCTTGCATCAGGTGGCCAAAGTAATGCAGTTTCAGCTTCAGCTCCTGCCGTGGTGTTAAAAATAGAATTTCCTCTCATCCCCAAGTTTGTAGAAGAGTGACGCAAAGTGGACTCTGAAATGATGTTCAGAATAAGAATCTACTAAAGCAGGATGGCTGCTTCAGGCTCTCCAGTGTCCTCCATGTGATTCTAAAGTATACCTGCTGCTAAGACCTGCATGTCTCGGGTTGAAGGGCTCTGGAGTTGCCGGGAAGAACCGGAACATGTACACGCATGTGTGTTTGTCACTTTGTCACTTGTCATGTGGCTCCTGACAAGTCACGAAACTGTCTGACATTGGAAGTTAAGTCAAGAGCAAAGAATGAGACGTCCTTCCCTGGTTCCCCATGTCTGGCAGGAAAGGACAGGTACAGAAGGACTCCAGCCGTGTGTGACAGACATCAGCCTTCGGGGGGTGTTGCAGCCAGCCCCCAGCTCTGAACTGCCTCCCAGATGCCCCCAACATCGGCCTCCTGGCTGAAGCTCTCCTGTGATCCAGGCTCCTCTGAAGCATAACTCTGACTAAACATCCACCCTTTCACAGAGATCTAACTTTGTAAGATGGTAAGGTTGGGAGTCTCCTACCCGTTCATTCACTCGTGCAGTTAGTATTTACTGAACCTGTACATTAGCTAAACACTGACAGCACAGTAAAGAAATGAGACGGAAATAGACAGTGAGTGAGTCAAGGAATGAGTAAGGAAAACAGCAGCACGTCGATGAAAGTGCAGCTGAAGCATTAAGAAAGGCTGTGAGAAGGGCCTACCTTGGAGAAGCAGGGAGGTGAAGTCTCGGGGAGTGGGGGGAAGACCTCTTGGAAGCTGAGGCCTGTAAACCACCCCAAAGCACAGAGGCCTGAGGCACCATTATGCTCTCACAGCTTCTGTGGGTGCAGACGCTCCGTATGGGCTTCTCACAAAGCCCTAATCAGGGTGGAGCCAGGACCGCAGCCCCCGGGACATGTGAGGGTGGGCCCCGGTCGGCTCTGGCTCCAAGCTCGCCCATGTGGTCATTTGAGGGCTCTGTACGTCCAGGATGATGGCCTGGAAATTGCCGTCAACTCCTGGCCTGTGGGCCTCTCCCAGGACAGGCCCCCAAAGCAGCTGTTCTGTCGGAGGGAGCAAGTGAGCAAAGCTGCAGAGAGCCAGGGCATCGCCAGTAACCTGTGCCGCCATCACCTCACGTTCTGTCCGTGAAAAGCATGGCTCCCGGTTCAGCCACACTCAGGACAGGGAGACCCACCAGGACGTGAGGATGGGGGCTGGCAGCAGGGAAGGGGAGATTAAACAGGCCAGGACGCTGGAGGGACAGGATGCCAGCCCTGAGGAGGACAACATGTCAGCTCAGGCAGGTCCTGCAGAAAGCCCTTCCTACTGGTCCCCTGGTGATGACCGGAAAGGGACCAGGAGAGGCCATCTGACCCTGAAGATGGGATCACTAAGAGATGCCTTCTTTCCCCCAACAATCCTGCTTTTTTTTTTTTTTTTTTCTATTTGTTTTGGAGAACTGTGTTTTGGGTCATTAATTCATACTCTTAAGAACACCTGTTCTAAAGCTATAACCCAAGATGCGTTAAATAGACTTGATATTTGTTTAGCACTTCATAAACCCTTCATCGTTTCATAACTGTTTATTAACTTTGCAGTTTTAGAGTTTACAGACTCACATACGTAAAAGAGCTGTGCTTTTCTGGCAGAACCATTAATATGAGCTAACAGACGTTCTGTTCAAAGTCCTCTTTTGAAATTTCCCGTCATGTGCAGCTCTATAACCTTCAGCCTATGAGCCAATGTGTATAACCTCCATCGTCACCAGGATGGTGGTGGTGATGGCTTAGCCTCTAAGTCGTGTCTGACTCTTGTGACCCGATGGACCGTAGCCCACCAGGTTCCTCTGTCCATGGGATTTTCCAGCAAGATTACTGAAGTGAGTTGCCTTTCCTTTGGTCAGGGGATCTCCCCTACCCAGGGATTGAACCTGCATCTCCTGCGTTGACATGTGGGCTCTTTACCACTGAGCCACTTGGGAAGCCTCTAATCAGGATACAAAACAAAAACTTCACCTTTTAAGAATCTCATTTAGTCATGGATCCACTGAACTATTGGAAGCAATATAAACAACCCTTCTAACCACCACAAAACACAGCTGGTATGAAAGCCTCCACATGAAGCATATATACTGTGTTTCAGATAAAACAAGAAAACAGAACTTAGGCAACAAATGGATGCTGCAATAACCAAGGTCAGATAACCCACAACATCACTAATTCTTGAAGGCACACTTCCTGCTCCAAAGCAATTCAGCGAGCCCTGAATTATAGGGATGTGGAATATTTCAAGTTAACAATATTAATGCGGCTCATAGTAGTCCAAATTCATGACAGTTTTAAGATCAATGATGGAGCTCCAAGATACATGAAGTAAAAACTGACAAGACTAAAGGGAGAAATAGATGATTCAATAGTAATAGTTGGAAACTTCAATACTTCACTTCTTAATATAGACAGCCCAACAAGGCAGAAGATTATTAGGCAAAGCAGAATCCTTGAACAGCACTATTAACCAACTAGATCTATAGACATCAAAGGAACATGGGACCCAGCAGCGGCAGAATGAAGGCACACTCTTCTCAAGTGCGCACAGAGCATGCTCCTTGAGAGACCACGTTCCCAGCGTACAGTAAGTGTGAAGACACAGCATCTCAGAGTTTGTGGGACTCCGCAAAAGCAGGGCACCCGGGGAAATTCAGAGCCATTAGCTTTCCACCACAGGACACTGGACAAAACACAGTGGAAAAAAGAAAGTCAAAGTGTCAGTGGCTCAGTCGTGTCCGGTTCTTTGTGACCCTGTAGACTGTCGCCCACCAGGCGCCTCTGTCCATGGGATTTCCCAGGCAAGAGTCCTGGAGTGGGTTGCCATTCCCTTCTCCAGGGGGTCTTCCCCACCCAGGGGTCAAACCTGGGTCTCCTGAATTATAGACAGATTCTTTACCATCTGAGCCACCAGTGAAGCCCCCGAAATCACTGAGAGATGAATTTAAATGGAATTAAGAGCTTGATCATTTCAGTTCAGTTCAATTGCTCAGTTGTATCTGACTGTTTGCAACTCCATGGACTGCAGCACGCCAAGTTTCCTTGTCCATCACCAACTCCTGGAGGTTTCTCAAACTCATGTCCATTGAGTCAGTGATGCCATCCAACCATCTCATCCTCTGCCATCCCCTTCTCCTCCTGCCTTCAATCTTTCCTAGCTACAGGGTCTTTTCCAGTGAGTCAGTTCTTCACATCAGGTGGCCAAAGTATTGGAGTTTCAGCTTCAGCATCAGTCCTTCCAATGAACATCCAGGACTGATCTCCTTTAAGATGGACTGGTTGGATCTCCTTGCAGTCCAAGGACTCTCAAGAGTCTTCTCCAACACCACAGTTCAAAAGCATCAATTCTTTGGCATTCAACTTTCTCCATGGTCCAACTCTCACATCCATACATGACCATTGGAAAAACCATAGCCTTGACTAGATGGACCTTTGTAATATCTCTGCTTTTCAATATGTTATCTAGGTTGGTCATAGATTTCTTCCAAGGAGCAAGCGTCTTTTAATTTCATGGCTGCAGTCACCATCTGCAGTGATTTTGGAGCCCAAGAAAATAAAGTCTGTCACTGTTTCCATTGTTTCCCCATCTATTTGCCATGAAGTTACGGGACCAGAGGCCATGATCTTTGTTTAGTGAACTAAACCTAAAACACACAGAAGACTTACACAACAGGATACTGTACAAAATACAGTGAACTAAACCTAAAACACACAAAATGAAGAAAAAAAAAAGATCAGGGTGGAAATGAATGAGATAGAGAATAGAAAAACAATAGAGAAAAATCAATACAACCAAAAGTTTGAGGTTTAAAAAATTTAACAAAATCCACAACAAAAAAGAAAGATATCTTAAATTACCAAAGCCATGAATGAATGAGGCAACATTTCTAGCAATCGTACAGAAATAAAAGGAATAACAAGGGGATGCTGTGAACATGTCATGCATAAAAATCAGATAACTTACATGAGATGGGCAAATATCTATAGAGACAAAAACTGGGAAAACTTATTTAAGAGGTAATAGAAAATCTGAATAATCTTAAAACAAAGAGATTAAATTAATAGTAATAAAAACTACCCAGAAATAAAAGTTCAGGCTCAGAGGCCTCACCACTGGCTTCTACTGAACATTTAAAGCAGAACTGATACAACCTCTTCCAAAGTATAAAAAAGAGAGAGCAGTGGTCTGGTTCTTCTTAATGCCAGCATTACCCTGAAATCAAAAACAGACAAAGACATCACACAAGAGAAAGCTACTGGTCAATGTTCCTTATGAATATGGATACAAAAATACACACAAAAAGTACTAGAAAATTGAATTCAGCAATATATAAGAACTATATACCATGACCAAATAGGATCAACTCCAGGAATACAAGGTTAGTTCAACACCTGAAAGTTAATTAATGTAATACATCATATCAGTAGAATAAAAGAAAACCCCACATGATCATGGCAATAGGCACAGAAAAAGGCTTTGACAAAAATCTAACACTCTTTCATGACTTAAAAAACAAACACTCAAAAAACAGGGAATTGTATGAAAAAACCTCAGCTGCATAATGGGCGGCCGTGCAAGTCCCACAGGTAACAGTTTACTTGCTGGTGGAAGTCTGGGTGCTTTCTCATGAAGACCAGGATCAGGAGAGGTTTGTCTGCTGCACAGCCTCTGTTCCATGCTAGAGGGTCTAGCTGGGCAATTAAACAAAGGTTTAGTGGTTGTCTGGCCTGCAGAAAGGGGGAGCAGAGAGGGGGACCATAGCTACAGAATATGGGGCTTCTTCTGGTAATGATGACAGTGTTCTAAAATTGACTGAAACGGTCACACAGCTCTTTGAATGTAATGAAGAGCCTTGCATTGTACGCTGTAATTGGACAATTGTGATGACATGTAGTTACATCTAGACAAACTGTATAAAAGTTCGTACGAATTGTCTCAATAGCTTAGCTAAAGTGAATGAGGTAATGCAACTCCCTTGAGGGCTGCGGGTCAGAGCCTGGATGTGAATGGTGGGAGACACAGCCTTGCTCCTTAGCCCCTCCTGCTGCCTGTCTCCACCTCACTGCCCCTGCTCCTGCATCCGCACCTCTAGGGCCTCATCCCACATTAATCACTGTCCCCAGGGATGGTCCTGGCACCGCTCTTGCACATGGCAGACATTCAATAAGCACGGGGCTCCAGTAGACTGCGTCTCGGGACCAGCCACTTTCTGGCCTCAGTCGAGCATTGCACCATGTGATGGCCCATGTAATTTTTCTCCCTGTTCTCCTCTGACCAGCTGTCTCTGATGTCAGCCTTTGCTTCTGATTCCCTCTGGGTCTGTCCCCGAACAGTTTCTGCTCACTGTCTTCCATACGTCTCTGTTGTGATGCATTCTCTCACTCAACAGTCCTGAAAAGGAGGAGGGAAACTTCCCGCTGTGCAGACTGAGCACCGCTGTGGGCAGGGCTCTGTCATCAGGACTCTTAATGGGCCACTGGGAAAGCTGGCCCCCAGGCAAAACAGCTGTGGTCGGCTGTGGGACCAAGCAAGAGGCATGCAAATGGACTGACAGGGACTGAAAAAGTCCCAGTGGCTGTTCTGAGGCAGAGCCTTGCCTGAAGTTGGCAGGAGTCCTGATACCCCAGGAGGGGAACAGAATGGACGCAGGGCAGATCACACAGCACTGGGAAGCGCCACGGCCCCAGTGAGCCTCCCGTACTCCATCCACCTGCACAGGACCATCTGCGGGCCTGGCCGAAGCTGGCTCTTACGCTTCTCAATGCCTCTGAGCCTTCCTGCCCTCTGGACCCATCAGCCAGTGAACCAGAAGCAGGAGAACATCACGAGACCAGTCCCTTGCCACTCACTTCTTAACTAGAAACAGAAACTGCTAGAACTCTTATAAAACATCCCAGATTTCTAATTTTCTGCATTTTCAGAGGAGACTTGGATAACAGCCATATTTGGAATACTTATATGGGCCAAAGATTTTTTTTAATGTTCATCCCAAATTTGACATGAGGAGAAAGTATATGCATTATACCTGAGGTCAAATATCAGTGCTTTTAAAACATTGCCAAATATTCATTTAAGCCATGTCTTTAGTGTATAATTTAGATTTG